TAGCAGTGGAGCCCCTATTCCTCGTACGGTCTCCGTCATGAGTTCGCGCCGAAGATGACGCTGCTGCTGCATTTGCCGGTTGTTGTTGTGGTGGGCCTGCTGGCTGCTGTTGTTCTGTAGATTGGGGTTCAGGCTGCACTTGCGTCGCGGTTTGACTGGAGGTTGGGTACTCACAATCGCCGGACTCGCCCAGTGGATTGTCCGTTGGATTGAGGGTGAGGGTGCCATCTTTGCTCTTCGTCAGATTGTGCAGCGCACTGTTTGCGGCCGCCGTACAGTTCATCGTGAACGCAACAGAGTCTGTGCCCGCCGCTGGCTGGGGTGCAGGGCAGTTCCCCGTCGGGAACTTCTCCAGGTACACCGAACCGGCCACGAGGCAGAGGGTATTACCGTAAGCAGCGCTTTCGCTGCTCTGCGCACCCGTCACCGCCTGAGGACACTCCCTCCAGGCAGCAGAATCCCCCTTGCCGGCAACGCGCCAAAACAACTTGCCGTCTGTTTTAGGGCACGACACCTCCACCGACACTTTCACTTCAGTCGCAGCCTCCTCAGTTCCCGCCCCGCAGCAGCAGCCGCAGAGCAGCGCGAGGAGCGCCAGGGCACACACCGCACGGCGCCGCACCGCCAGCGTCGTCATCGGCGAAAGTAGTAGTAGTGGCCGTAGAGTGACAGAGTCGCTGAAGTCAGCGGGGAAAAGGACGCAGGAAGCAAGAGAAGTAGAGGGATGGAGAGGGAGTGCAGCGGAGACAGTGAAGAGAGTAGGTGACAAAAAGAAAAAGGCGGCAGTCGAGCAACTTCACGCAGCCACGCAAGAAAGACGCACAGCGCCAGCAGGCACCCACGACGGAGCAGCGAAGCGCAGCCGCCCCCACACGCACATGCACACGGGAAGTAGGCCCGCAACCACCACCCAAATGAGGCGGCTCCCGCAAGGAAAACGAGTTAGTCACAGCGCACTCCCCCTCGTGCTGTGCGTTTTCCTTCCCTTCCCTTCACTTCCCGCGAGGAAACCGCAGCAGCAGCCGCACACGGCACTGCCAGCGCAGGCTGTGGAAGCGCCATCCACCTGCACGACACTACAGGCGCATCGCGTGCACGTCGGTCGTGTGTGTGTGTGTGTGCCTGCAGACACGCAACGCAAAGAGGGAGAAGGGAGAATCGTGTGGCGGCACGCAGACAAACACACACGCACAGCAGAGGCGCAGGAAGAAAATGAAGCAACAGCTGAAGCTGGAGCCGGCACCGCAGCCCAAGTGGTGGCCAGCCACGAGAAACGCGAT